AGTGCTGCATTTTTGTACCCATAAAATATACTTTAATTACTATAGACAGTTATTGAAACTCTCAGAAATAATCACTGTGTTATTTAAAGGGGCGATGGAGTGGTAGTGGTGATGTTTGTGACATAACATATACAAAGTTTTCTTCATTAAAACCAATAAAATAACACTGAATTGCACATTGTTGATGTGCATAAAAAAAGGCAATGCCTTGGTAATGCTAGGTTCCTTTAGCACTGTCATCCTGGACTATACACATATTAGGCCGCCTAAGTGTACCAAGTGAAGAACTACATAGATACCAACTGTTCCACATTTGGAGACACTGTTCCTCTTTTGGAACCCAATCCCCCTGTCCCTCTTTCCTCCTTAGTTGTCCAACATTGTTGGTCTGAAGTGTGGACCTCTATAAAAAAAAAACACTAACAACTAGAAGTCTTTTACTGCACTAAACCTTTCATCCAACCTCAAATGCTTTTTCATTTGTTGTCTTAACAATATAGTATAAAGGAAACGTAGTGGTTAACAAAAGCATTTGTGGTTTCCACCAATCATTATTTGCAGATTAATTCTTTATGGTTCTTATTCCAAGGGGTGTGGTTGGGTGTGTCCTTACATACTTTGTGCGATAAAGTGCTCCTGTTTCCCATTTCAGAATGTTGGGAAGTATGAAACTGTACAAAAACCCATATTGTTTTTTAACTGATAGTTTTTATACATGGATTTGTACCCTTAAAGAGTGGTTGTGGGGGAAGTACAATCTGCTGTGTTATTCTGTTGTTTTCATCATCCATTTTGTGCTAGGGGTATTTTGAGGAACAACTAGGTCAAGAATTATTCTTCCTTCTTGCCTAGGTTAGCTGTCATTCCCTTCCTACCAGAATTTGCTTGGCAGCCTTTGTAACACACAAGACCAAATGTCAAAGCCACACATGGCACATTTAGGCTAGAGGCTGAGAGGGTAAAAAGGATAGTTTGCTTATTTGCATCACTACACCTGAATGACGAGAAGAGTGGGCAAACTGTCACTCTGCTCTATCAGCAGTTTGATTCAAGGCAATGGAAGTAAATGAGCCTACAGAAGCAGATGCAGTAAAATTCAGCACAAATCGAAGCAAGCACTTCACCAATCTCTTGAGTGTAATGGCTTATTTAACTGAGTATGCACTTTTTGGTGTGGCTATTAAGTGCACTTAATGGACATCAGGAACATGTGGCAACTGCTCCCTTTAGCTTATGTGTGTCTGAGCCCTAACTGTTTTTTTTTTGGGCCAAATCTGTGAACAGCTATAACATTCTTGTAGTTTTGATTTTTTTTTAAAACAACAATAATAATAATACCATAAAAATACAGCACAGCGTTTGAATCCAAGACCGATATTTCAGGTTTTGGTAGATGCTGGAGAGCTTAATTGCCTTGTGGCTTCTAATATTCCTCTGGGACTACAGAGGAGAAAATCTGTTTGCTTGCGTTCTTAGATCTGCACACCTGCTGTGGAAACTACAGCCAATCTCTCTGACGTGCTAATACCTTATTTTATATAATGGAGAATGTAATAGGGTAATGGGCATGGGACAGGAGCAGAGATGGCAAATATGGCGGGGAGATTTCACCACTGGAGATATACAGGATAAAAAGCCAGTGGGGCTCTAAGTCCCCCTGGATTGCACCTATGAATTCAATTTCGAGGATTGAAGCTTGAGATCATAGTCTATGAAGAACATATTTCCTTGATGAAAACAGATGTCTGCAGCTCTGAGAAGCTCTCAAGAATGAGGGTTCACATAACTTATTAATTGATGAAGTACAGTCACTGCCTTCTTTGGCTTCAGCTCAAAAATGGTTGACTTTTCCACTTCACTCTGACATTCTGCAATACAGCTGTACTGAATCACTCTATTTTATTATTTTTGTTAATTATTTGTAGGTTTCAGCCTAAGTACATAATCAATGTAATTTCTTAATACCACTTCTAAATATATGCAACACAATTGTTTAACGTTCAAATCGGAAAACAACAGGCTAAAAATATTAAAGGAGAAAAGAAAATGCTTATGATAAAAACTATCATTTTTTTAATATTTAACAATCTATGATTGCCTATCGTTTATAACAAATAATTAAAATAGAGTCAATACATTTGGATAAATTGTCACATATTTAAAAAGTACACACACTTCTGCTTCTATTGGATGATCTGTTTACAGAACTGCATACCATACAATGCCTTCATCAAATCCATCGGGGGAAAAAACAGAGAATGCTTTTATACCTATTTGTATTAGAAAGGCAGTTGTGGTACATAGATCCTTTAATTTTTTTTCTTTTGTTCTGTAATTTCTGTCAACAAAAATATTATTTGTTTGCTCTGTACAACCATTACTCTGTCCTTATGCAATGTATGTGGTTAATCTTTAAGAATGTAGCCATAGACATTAAACAGACAGCTATAGAATCATGTTTTCTGATATGTAATGACTTACCATTCCTGGTAGAGTGTTTGCCTGTAGTTCAGGGTAAGCTCACAGTGCAACTGGATGGAGTTATCAGTAACTGGAGAAGCAGGGCTGTCCTTTGTGTGTGCACCTGCTGAAGCTGAGCTGTATTTTAATATGTCCCACACTCCTACAGGTGAGGTGTTTTGCAAGGGCAGAGAATAGCAGCGATGACAGCCTATCCTTGTGTTAGTGTTTTAGTTATGCAGCAAGGGAACTGCCTTATAGGTTATTCAAAATAGAAGAGGTAGGGCAGAGAAAAAAAGGTGAAAGATATACACTACGTTGCTACTCTTCTATATATACTGTACATACCTCCCAACAGTCCCACATTTGTAGGGACTGTGCCTCATTTGGAACCAAATCCATCTGTTTTTTCTTTCCTCCTCAGTTGTCTCTTGGTTTGGTCTGATGTACAGATATATACACTATGTACAGATATGAAAAGGTTTTATTTAACTACCAGAATTGTTATTCTGCACTGAAAACCTTTATTTTATCAATTAATTATCCTATTTGCTATTGAGAAAAGCCAGAATAAAGGAAAACTAATAGTGAAATGTAATCATTTTTTGCATATCATTTTTGAATGGTCTGCATAACTGGGACCTTGTCAGGTGTGTTTCAATTGTCTAAATACATTGTGCTAGAAATAGCATCTCAGAAAATTGGGTTGGATATATATAAACCCACTGTAGAATTGGGTGTTACGACCACCCAGGACTCTCAGAGGGGCTGAGAGGTGTCAGGAAGCAAATGTTTGTCTGGATTCTGCTTGGGATCCTCGAACTGGGAGGTTTCATACTAATTCAGGATGGAACAAAGCTCCAGTACTGGGTCCAGGATTTAGCAGTGACCAGCACCCGATGATTACACAGGTGTACACAGCCTTTAAAGGAGATCTATGAGGTGAGTGATTTTCACTCATCCTCATTGTTAGAGCCGACCTGTAACAAAGAAGCTGTCACAGGTCAGCTTTAATGTTCGGTAAGTGAGCAGGAACATGCACCAATCCGCTCACTTCCTGATCGTCTCCCTGCAGTGAGTGGTGACTGTCAGTCATCGCTCCCCACAGGGATTCCCCCCTCCCCTCTCCGATCCTCCACCGCTGAGTGGTGGAACGAACGGGGGAGAGGGCGGGCACAGCTGGCTCTGCCTCTAGATAGGCAGAGCTAGCTGTCACTCACGCAGCTGGCTGGATCTCGACAGTATTGTAGGGATCCGTTCCGGCTGCGGCACTCTTACAATATCGCGGGTAACAGCCCGCGATATACTGAGCTTTGGGTCACGGGAGGAGGTTGGTATATGTCCACCCATGGCCCTAAAGAGAACTATGGGGAAAAACACTTACCCCATAGCTCTCTTTTAAGGAAAGGGTGCTGGCTAATGTTCAGGGCTCCTGCTGGGAAATTGGAACAGATGGTGTTCAGGGGGTCAGGAGGACTTCCCCAGAAGTTAAAGAAGAGTCAGGTGGTGTGTGTGCTTGAGGCACATGGAGACAGCCATGGAGGCTGGGAGAGAACTGGTGAGGCTAGGAGAGCCGTGAGCCTGAGGGGCCACCAGTACAGGTGTGGGACAGCACTTCAAAGAGGACTGCGGGGTCAGGGCCGGCCTTAGGCCTTTAGGCGCCCTGTGCGAGAAAGCTTTTGCGGCCGCACTGCTCGCACACCCCTAAGGCCGGCCCTGTGCGGGGTCAGAAGTGGTAATGATTCAAATAGAAGCCAGGAGGCTAAACTTGTATTATGTTGCAAGTATTGCATGGATGTTATGCTGAACAACTTCCTTTTCCTTTTATCTATTATCTTCTTTTTTAATTTCTTCATGAAAAAGATAAAGTAAAATGCTTTCTGCTATACTATATGATTAGAAAACACATTGCAAATGAGAGAGGTTATAGGAGAATAGCCACACTTATTCAAGCTAACATGTATCTTGAGTAACTAAAAAAAAAAGCTAAAAACTGAATAATGAGACTAGAGTGGGCACTTGATCTCATATACTGGACAGCCAAAGATTGAAAAAAATGTTGCCTGGTCTGATGAATCTAGAATTCTGCAAAATGCACATGCAAGTCAGGATATGGCAGATCTATCCTGGGCCAACTGTCAGTGGTGTGATGGTTTGGAACATGCTTTATTCCTACACATTTGGCCCCAAATGCCAACGAACTAATGAAAATTGATTGACTTTCACAGCGTGCCTGAATAATGCACATTTAGGCTGCTGTGTCTGGAAACTTCTAGTGTGTGTGTGTCACTTTGCAATGATTTGAAGAGATGCTTCTTGGTTACCCTTGATCCTTTATGCTCTCTCATCATAAAGAGAAACTAAGGCTTATTTTACACAGGAGCGGTTGTCCATGTGTAATTTGGCCAGCCGAATACGCACGGAGCAGTTCTAAACAGAATAAACAATGCACTTTAATGTACATTGAGCAGACTTTTGCGGCAGCCGCGTGGTATGAAGCCGTGCGGCCCGCAAAACAGCCAAAGCACGATTTCTTGACGGATTCTGCACGTTCCGCACTATAACAGTCCACCCATGTCTGCTGGACTAACAACCGTGTAATAATGTAAGGTATTTGATATTTGCTATGGATCACAAATAAATATGTTTCTAAACTGATCTAACTTAAAGATGTAATTTTATGTAAAAATCTTACATCCTTGTATGACTGCTGGTTTAAAGTCAAGAATTGTTTCATATGTGGGTATGATATATTCCTTGTTTATTAAGAGTAGTTTTAGAGAAAAAATATCCTCAAAAACATATTTTTTCCTTTATTATCCTCATTATGTTTCTACAAGGAAAGCAGAGAGTCTCTGAAAACAGTCAAGCTCTGTAGTCATAGATAAACAATTTAATATGCTTTTAGGGTGTGAAATAATAAGACAGATGAGCTGGTATTACCTGTCTTCCTGCCTACCTATGGCATGACATGATTAGACAGTGTTCACTGTGTTGCTTAAGCTACAGATCTAATTGTCTACTGTGTCTCTAGGGATGACTTAGCTAACTACGCACGTACGATTAATATTTGAAGAGCAATATTGAATTCATTCCAGCTGGTACAGTGAATGACTAAGGGGTCTAGACACAAGAGAACACTATGAGGCACAATGCATACAAAGAAGGTGCTTTAGGAACTTCTTTTGGAAAATACACAATGTTAACTTGGCTCCATGCTCTTTACTAACCACTTATCACTAATTTGTTTACATGTTTGTGTAATCAAGTGAGTAACTAGAAAAGTGACTAATAAACCTATAAATTAAACAAGTTATACAGATTCTATAAATTACTTAAAGGGTTTCTAAACCCTCAGCTTTTCTAGCAAGCAGTAGATATATGCAAAAAGTTAAAAACAAACAAAAAAAAACGCTTTAACAGTGGTTTAAACTTACCTGTGCCTTCCCCGCGCGCTCCCGTCTGAAAATGTGAAAATTCTTGGGCGGCCGCAAAGGATCTTGGGGCCCGCGCAAGTGCAGTTCACATTTTCGGCCGGGAGACGAGGAGAGACGCAAGGTAAGTCTATGGACGTGTGCACCCCCATGCAGACACCGTGGGACAGGAAGTGCCAGCAAGCCCAGAGGAGTCAGCGCTGGATCGGACACCCGCCACAGCGCCGGAGAGAAGGTTGAAAATATCAGGAAAGAAGAGGAAGATCGGATTAAGAGACATAATTTAAGGTAAGTGCTTTAATTAACATTGGGGGGGAGGAAAAAAAAAAGTTGACTTTAATGTCACTTTAAGGGGATCTGTGAACAAATAATTTTGTACTTCTTGATTAAATATATCAGAAAGACATGTGCTGCTGTGAGAATGGAATAATCTTATGGTTGCTTATCTTATGGTGTCAACAAAGTTACTCTTTAAGATATGTTTGATCATAAGACTTATACTTTGAGTTACAGTTCTTAGACATGAAAATCTTGAAAATTGTATTTATCTTTGTGGATGTCTTTTGTTTTATCTTTTGTATTTTTTTGACTGCTGATGTTATAATATAGTATATTAGTTAAAAAAAGTCTGCATGCCAGTTTCCCAACAAGATTGTTAACATTACAGCCTGTGAAAGAACCACAGAGCACAGCAGGGGACCAGGTATTCGACATACTGAGAAGTTCTGGATGCCAGTGGCACGCACAGCTCGTAAACAAAGCAAAAATTTGACTCACCATCTGCATACATGACAGTCAAGTATTAAACTTCTGCTTTTACAGTGTGCAGATGACAATTTTTTTAATGTAATGACAGTTTCGCTTTAAGGTGCTCCTAATGATGGGTTGGGACAGGGCCTAGCCCCCAAAATTTAGGAAGTTGGACACTTACCAGCAAAATTACAGATCAGTACAGCATATAAAAAATAATTTTCTAGATTTAACTGGTTTCTGATTATCATAACAAATTATAAAGAAGAATAAATGGGCTATTGGACCAGCAGTGATACAAAATCCTTTTAATTGCAAAATAGGAACTCAACAGCTCAAAGGATCGAAAATCCCTTTCACCCAGTGATTGGATGTGGTTGTATAACAATGTTGTTACTTTTTAATTTCACAACAGGGAGTTTTTTTTGTGTTGAAGGGATCTTCAGTCATATGGGCTGTTGAATTTATATTTTGCAATTAAAATTATTTTGTATCAATGCTGGTCCAATTGTCCCTTTTATTCTTTTTAAAATTTGTTGTACTAAAGATTGGGAAGATCTGCTGGTGCTCCTATGCACTCTTATGCATTGAGAGAATGCCACTATACATAAGAATTTTTCATTTTCATTGTACTTAGTTTCTAGTTATCATCTATATAACACATTAATGTGTTTTATGGAAAATAATCTTTCTACCGTCCCAAAAATAAGGCCCAAATAAAAAAAAAGAATATATAGGAACATAATGCCAGACTTTAATGGTAGCCAATATTACACATGTAATCTGTGGGTTAGGACCCCGAGTAGGTCATGAGACAATGGTCATACAAAGGCTGGAGCATTGAGAAATATTCTACTCCCTGACATAACTCTAATCACTAGGATTAGGAAAGTGGATGGATTTTGCCCTCCATTAAGGAGCTGCTCTTGATTACAATGCTGCAGATTGTATAGACCCAGGTGATTGTTGGGAAGTGACCATTGAAAAAGTAGGATCAT